GAAATTTGTTCCCCCCATCTTAAAGCAGAATTTGATCTGAGTGTATAGTTGTGTTGTTATTTTATTAAAATTAGTGTCAGAAACCACTCTCTAGAGGGCAGTCAGCCGAGGAGGTCTTGTTATCGGTCCACATAGCTAATGGAAGAATCAGGCAAGCTCTGCTAGAGCTAGTTTGCCTTTTAACCCAAGTGCAAGTATGCAGATCTGCAGGTTTTGCAAGCTGGGTTTTAAAGGGATACTATACTGCCAGAAATATAAAGCTGTATGCCTGGCACCATCGCTCCCCTGCTTCCCCCGGTGTTAAATAAAAGGTTCATAACCTTTTATTTACTTACCTCATCAACACTCCACCCTCTTCAACATCTCGTGACAAGCGGGCGCTAATGCGCATGTGCTGCAAGTACCATTCATGCATTAGACATGCCTAAAGGAAAGCATTGAATCAATGCTTTACTATGGGGAAATATCTGACGATAGATGTCCAGCGTCAGATACCGGTCCAAAGGTCCGTTTGGATCCAGGAAACGCCACCAGTGGCTGAGAGACAGCAACTGAAGACAGATTTAGAGCTGCAATGTAAATATTCTAGTTTATCTAGAACTGCAATGTTTTACATTGTTGCACTATGTGCAATAGGGACACTGCACCCACACCACATAAATGAGCTGAAGTGTTCTGGGTGCCTATACTATCCCTTTAAATATACCCACAATGAAAAATAATGCAGCAATACATGCATATTTACATTGAGGGTATAAGTATTAAATTATTAAAAAGAAAATATACATTTTCCATTACAATCATCCTTGAAACAAGAGAGGGTTTTAATACCACTGAATGTCCATTAAAGTTTCAGCTCACCTGCCCCAGTCAATGCAGCCAGCCTAACAATTCACCCTGCAGTTTTTAGATAAATGGCAAATCTCTAATGAGGCAGAAAGGGGTATTCTTATGAACCCTACGTACTAATTAGCCCGTAATAGGGCACATATGGAACTGTTGCATCACTGTAAATGGCTGTGTAATACAAAAACAAATGACAGGGAAAAAAATAACCCTGCAATCGAACTCCCACTAGTCCTGGGTGTCAGCAAAGACTATAGTATTAATCAGACAAAATACACAAACCGTACAACCCAAAAAGGTTACCTGCACACAATACACAAAATCTCCAATGGCAATTAAAGTGTTACATGCTTCATCAATGCAAACCTCTTAAGTGAGTGTTATGCTAACAATTCGCCTGGCTGCCTTCAGCTACAAGGAAAAATCTGGAATGAGGAAGGAGAGTGGATTCTTATAAATTCCTCCAAATTAATTCATCCTTTATAGGGTGCACATGGGGTGGGCGACAGCACTAACAAGGCTGTATAATGAAAGGCAAATAGAAACACACAGAAGTAAGCCCTGCACTCCCGTTAGCCTTTGGTGGCAGCAATAGCTATATAACGTTATTTACTAATGAGGGGATTGAAAGCCAATTCAAAGTAAATTTCACATTTAAAAACCCAACTGAAAGCAGAAATGGCTTTTTCCAATTCGGCTATTTTGACCTTAAATTTGAAATGCACTTCGAATTCAGTATTTATGTAAGTAAGTTTTAATCAGTCCAAATAAATATAACACTACAGGGGGGGGGTTTTGTAACTAATAGCAAGTGCCTGTGTGTATCCTGAGATAATTCTGTGCTGTATCAGATCACACAGTACATGTAACATGTGTTTGAATAGCAAGGAGACTGGATGCTGTAAATCATTCTGATCACCCCCCAATCCTTGTCATTGATGGCTCTGAAGGCAGTAATTTCAGGAGCCCTGGCTATCTTACATTTATTAAACCAGCCCTAATTTATCAAAGATACTTACTTGTCCCTGCTCATGAGAACTTCTGGTTTGTTTTTTTTGTTAAAGTTGCAGCAGTCGCTCCTCCTGATTCTGATTTGTCTTCTGTCGCTGACGATTACTTAAAGCCAGTTGTCGCAAAGCCACCTGTCGCAAAACCACCTGTTCTTCCCACAAGCTATCGGGAGACTATATTTAAATTGGACCTAGCTCAATCTAACATTAATCCCAGCTAAACATAGTCTACCCGGTGTATAGAGCATGTCTCTAGACTAATGCAGATATAGAAACACTGGGAGCTCTGGGACGCACTCATACACATTTCTGTGAGTTCTTTTTATTGTGGAGCTCTGGGACGCACTCATGCACATTGCTGTGAGTTCTTTTTATTGTGGAGCTCTGGGACGCACTCATGCACATTGCTGTGAGTTCTTTTTATTGTGGAGCTCTGGGACGCACTCATGCACATTGCTGTGAGTTCTTTTTATTGTGGAGCTCTGGGATGCACTCATGCACATTGCTGTGAGTTCTTTTTATTGTGGAGCTCTGGGACGCACTCATGCACATTGCTGTGAGTTATTTTTATTGTGGAGCTCTGGGACGTACTCATGCACATTGCTGTGAGTTATTCTTATTGTGGAGCTCTGGGACGTACTCATGCACATTGCTGTGAGTTATTCTTATTGTGGAGCTCTGGGACGCACTCATGCACATTGCTGTGAGTTATTCTTATTGTGGAGCTCTGGGACGCACTCATGCACATTGCTGTGATTTATTCTTATTGTGGAGCTCTGGGACGCACTCATGCACATTGCTGTGAGTTCTTTTTATTGTGGAGCTCTGGGACGCACTCATGCACATTGCTGTGAGTTCTTTTTATTGTGGAGCTCTGGGACGCACTCATACACATTGCTGCGAGTTCTTTTTATTGTGGAGCTCTGGGACGCACTCATACACATTTCTGTGAGTTCTTTTTATTGTGGAGCTCTGGGACGCACTCATGCACATTGCTGTGAGTTCTTTTTATTGTGGAGCTCTGGGACGCACTCATGCACATTGCTGTGAGTTCTTTTTATTGTGGAGCTCTGGGACGCACTCATGCACATTGCTGTGAGTTCTTTTTATTGTGGAGCTCTGGGACGCACTCATGCACATTGCTGTGAGTTCTTTTTATTGTGGAGCTCTGGGATGCACTCATGCACATTGCTGTGAGTTCTTTTTATTGTGGAGCTCTGGGACGCACTCATGCACATTGCTGTGAGTTATTCTTATTGTGGAGCTCTGGGACGTACTCATGCACATTGCTGTGAGTTATTCTTATTGTGGAGCTCTGGGACGCACTCATGCACATTGCTGTGAGTTATTCTTATTGTGGAGCTCTGGGACGCACTCATGCACATTGCTGTGATTTCTTTTTATTGTGGAGCTCTGGGACGCACTCATGCACATTGCTGTGAGTTCTTTTTATTGTGGAGCTCTGGGACGCACTCATACACATTGCTGCGAGTTCTTTTTATTGTGGAGCTCTGGGACGCACTCATACACATTTCTGTGAGTTCTTTTTATTGTGGAGCTCTGGGACGCACTCATGCACATTGCTGTGAGTTCTTTTTATTGTGGAGCTCTGGGACGCACTCATGCACATTGCTGTGAGTTCTTTTTATTGTGGAGCTCTGGGACGCACTCATACACATTGCTGCAAGTTCTTTTTATTGTGGAGCTCTGGGACGCACTCATACACATTGCTGCAAGTTCTTTTTATTGTGGAGCTCTGGGACGCACTCTTGCACATTGCTGCAAGTTCTTTTTATTGTGGAGCTCTGGGACGCACTCTTGCACATTGCTGTGAGTTATTTTTATTGTGGAGCTCTGAAACGCACTCATACACATTGCACATTACTAACATAGTTACATAGCTGAAAAGAGACTTGAGTCCATCAAGTTCAGCCTTCCTCACGTTTGTTTTTTGCTGTTGATCCAAAAGAAGGCAAAAAAAACCCAGTTTGAAGCACTTCCAATTTTGCAACAAACTAGGAAAAAAAATTCCTTCTTGACCCCATGGCAGTCAGATTAATCATTGGATCAAGCAGCTATTACCCTACATTGAAAGATTATATCCTTGAATATTCTGTTCTTGCAAGTATGCATCTAGTAGCCGTTTGAACATCTGTATGGACTCTGATAAAACCACTTCCTCAGGCAGAGAATTCCACATCCTGATTGTTCTTACGGTAACTGTGAGTGTTATTGCTGAGAATTGCAGGTGTGGTCTCATGAGAATTTCCTTCTTCTATAACACTAACTTTTGAAAACACCATGTCTGGAGGATGATGAGGTGGCTGGAACCAGGGCTCAGCATACCCTCAGAGTCAGCATCCTACATGGGTCCCTTCACATAACCGGAGAATGGAGATGAGTGGCCCAGTTCCTACTTAATGTATATGTATACCCTCCATAAGGTTTATTGGTTGCGGCTAACTTTTGTACGGCTCTATAGCTTGATCACCTATTATTCCTAGTTAATGCAGGGCAAGTTGGAACTGCCACCTGTCCTTCATACCAGATATACATCATAATGCATACTCAAGGTCTATTGTGTATACTAATGTTATGCTTATTGTCCCAAGCCCACAATTGATGTCATAATGTTACCATATTACCATAATATATACAATGGAAAAGTGAATAACTCTAATAAAATACAAATTTAAAAATATATATATATATTGTCACGAGTAACAGATTACAAGAGAACAATCCGCATTACTCTGCACATTTTGTGTCTTTTAGACGTATTTTATCAAGAATAGCTGCACGCCAGACGCCATTCCTAAATAAAGGTAAACTCCGACCGAAGCAGGTAACGAACGCCCAAACAGTCACCCAAACCCAAAAATATATATCTTTATCTGCTTTGGGTGAGGTTTGTGTAACTTATTATTTGTATTAATTCTATGTTTACTGAGATTTTATAGTAGTTAAACATGGCATACAATACTTAGGGCCAAAAACCTATAGAAAAAGTTGTAGAAATTATACCAATATATATATTGTGGCAGTGTGAGTGCCCCAGAATGGCACTTTCAGTGTTCCCTGACTAGAGTGGGTTGCTCTAGTACAGTGATGGTGAACCTTTTTGAGCCCGAGTGCCCAAACTGCAATACATGCCAACTTTTTTTTCCTCAAAGTGCCAACACGGCAATTAAACCTGAATACTGAGGTTTAAGTTTAGAAAAAACAACTCGTTCAGTTGTCCGAACTAATAAACAACTTTGTTTTAAAAGAAGAACACAACAGAGAGGTCAATGATACAAGTTTTAAATAATGATATAAATAGATAAAATTAAACTTATATTTATTAGTATCTCCAACAAATGCAATACATACACACAGACTGCTAAATACATACACACACACACAGACTGCTAAATACATACACACACCGACTGCTAAATACATACACACACAGGCCGCTAAATACACACACACACACCGGCCGCTAAATACACATACAGACACACTGCTGAGTACACACAGAGTACATACACTGCTGAATACACACACACACTGCTGAATACACACAGACTGCTGAATACATGTATACAATCTGCTGAATACATACACTGCTGAGTACACACACACACAGTCTGCTGAGTACACACACACAGTCTGCTGATTACACACACACACACAGTCTGCTGAGTACACACACACAGAGTGCTGAATACACACACATACAGACTGCTGAATACACACACATACAGTCTGCTGAATACACACACATACAGTCTGCTGAATACACACACATACAGTCTGCTAAATACACACACATACAGTCTGCTAAATACACACACATACAGTCTGCTGAATACACACACACAGACTGCTGAATACACACACACAGACTGCTGAATAGATACACACAGACTGCTGAATACAAGCACATACAGTCTGCTAAATACACACACATACAGTCTGCTGAATACACACACACAGACTGCTGAATACACACACACAGACTGCTGAATAGATACACACAGACTGCTGAATACAAGCACATACAGTCTTCTGAATATACACACATACAGTCTTCTGAATATACACACATACAGTCTTCTGAATATACACACATACAGTCTTCTGAATACACACGCACAGTCTGCTGAATACACACGCACAGACTGCTGAATACACACACATACAGATTGCTGAATACATACAGACGTGTGTGCGGGGGTGCTGTGCTGTGTGTGTGGGGGTGCTGTGTGTGTAGAGGGTGGGGGTGCTGTGTGTGGGGGAAAGGGGTGCAATGTGTGTGTGGGGTAGGAGTGCTGTGCTGCGTGGGGGTTAGGGGCGCTGTGCTGTGTGTGGGGGGGTAGGGGTTCTGTGGGAGGAGGGGTGCTGTGGGGGTAGGGTGATGTGTGTGTGTGTGTGGGGGTAAGGGTGCTGTGCTGTGTGTTGGTGGTAGGGGTGCAGTTTGTGGATGGTAGGGGTGCTGTGCTGTGGGGTAGGGGTGCTATGCTGTGTGTGGGGGGATAGGGGTAAAGATACATAAAAAATAAAAAAAAGATAAATTCTGTATCACCCTCCCTTCCTCTCACCTTTGGTGAAGGAGGGGGGGACACAGCTATCCCTGGTGATCCGGTGGTGGTAAGTAGGTTTCTGTGAAGCAGCTCTCCTGTCCTCCCGCGCGATACTGTGTGGTGCGTTGCCATAGTAACTCGCGGCAACGTTCCACACAGATTGCTTGCGGGAGGACAGGAGAGCTGCTTCCTAGAGCCCTCCCCCTGTCCTCCCGACACGGAAGCAGAGTAGGCGCCTGCTATTTCGGGCAAGCAGGTGCCTACTCTGCAGACAGCCAGCGGCCCCCTCTCCCGGCGACCTATGGCCGTGTGCCCACAGAGAGGGCCCGGCGTGCCACAGGTTCGCCATCATTGCTCTAGTACAGTGATGGCGAACCTTTTTGAGCCCGAGTGCCCAAACCGTAATACATGCCAATTTTTTTTCCCCTCAAAGTGCCAAAACGGCAATTAAACCTGAATATTGAGGTTTAAGTTTAGAAAAAACAACTCATACAGTTGTCCGAACTAATTAACATCTGTGTGTGTATTAAGCAGTTTGTGTGTGTGCTCGCAGTCTGTCTGTATGTGTATTTAGCAGACTGCTGAATACACACAGACTGCTGAGTACACAGTCTGCTAAATACACACACACACACAGACTGCCGAGTACACACACACACACAGACTGCTGAGTGTACACACACACAGACTGCTAAATACACACACTGCATTGAGGGGTACAGTGTATGTGTTTGTGTGTGGGGTGATGTGTTTGTGTGTGGGGTGATGGGTGGGGTGGTGTGTGTGTGTGGGGGTGATGTGTGTGTGTGTGGGTGATGTGTGTGGGGGTGATGTGTGTGGGGTGATGTGTGTGTGTTTGTGTGGGGTGATATGTGTAGGGCAGGGGTGCTGTGTGTATGTCATCCCCTCTCTCCCCCCCCCACTGTTTTCTTTCCCCCCATCCCTCCCTCATTTTTTTCACCCATCCCACCCAGTTCCCTCCATCTCTCTCCCTCAGTTACCCCCATCTCTCTCCCCTCAGTTCCCCTCATCTCTCCCTCAGTTCCCCATCTCTCCCTCAGTTCCCCCATCTATCCCTCAGGTTCCCCATCTCTCCCTCAGAGTTCCCCATCTCTCCCTCAGGTTTCCCCACATCTCTCTCCCCTCAGGTTGTCCCTTCCCCCCATCTCCCTCAGGTTGTCCCTTCCCCATCTCTCCAGGTTGTCCTTCCCCATCTCTCCCTCAGGTCGTCCCCTTCCCCATCTCTCCCCAATCTCCCCATCTCCCCCTCTCTGCCTCAGGTTCCCCTTCCCCATCTCTCCCTCAGGTGTCCCCCT